GAACATCACTGCTCTAGAGGAGATCTGCATGGAGGAATGGGCCAAAATACCAGCAACAGTGTGTGAAAACCTTGTGAAGACTTACAGAAAACGTCTGCTCTCTGTCAATGCCAACAAAGGGTATATAACAAAGTATTGAGATAAACTTTTGTTATTGACCAAATACTTATTTTCCACCATATTTTGCAAATAAATTCTTTAAAAATCAGACAATGTGATTTTCTGGTTTTTTTTTTCTCATTTTGTCTCTCATAGTTGAGGTATATCTATGATGAAAATTACCGGCATCTCTCATCTTTATGAGTGGGAGAACTAGCACTATTGCTGGCTGACTAAATACTTTTTTGCCCCACTGTACAGTAGGTTGAATAAAAAAGTTTTGTGTTTCGAAACCATCCTGAATAAAACTTGGATGGGTTCCATAGCCTCACACGCAACACAAACCTGCACACACATGTATTTATTTGAATTATGCAAAGTCAGCACTAGAACCAAAAACCTGTATTCATAGGGTGCAGCAGGTAAACTGCTCACACAGGGCCATGCAAACATATCCATAGTAGAACTTTTTCCCATTTAGTCCCCTTAAAAGTGCACTATTCTATATATTTTACAGGGCTTTTACATAAATGGAAGAAACACAAGCTATTAAGTAATTATGAAAGATTGACTCATTGCTTTCACCATTTTTTAAGTGTAAATCTTAAAGGTGTGCCATGCATTTGTGTTCAACTTTGATTAAGTCAATATTTTACTAAATTATAGCTGCAAATGTATCTCTAATAGTTTTATATCTGGAACTTGAAATGTTAGCAATAAATAAATTAATAAAACTAAATAACATGGTGGCAGGATCAGGCTTTACTTCAACAGAAAATTCTGTATGTCTGGGAGATTCACCCTCTATGTAAGGGTGAAAAGACCCAGAAATGTGCCGTTCAGATTGAAAAGAGATTAAAGATGTAATGTGAAAAAGAAAAAAAGAAACAAATGAGTGTTTCCTGTGCAGGATTGCATCTGTATGGCAGTCCAAATGAGCTGACTAAAGAGACAAAACCTATGTGGCTTCCTATCAGGTGGAGGGGAGGCCTCTCAGACATCCTGGCTGGAAAAGACAAGATCAGACTGTTTAGAGTCTAAATTTAATCTGAAGCTGTGAGCTCCACTCTACGTGTGGCGTCTCGGCCGACCAATCGCGCAACAGTTTGGACAGCTTAAGAGATGTTGGGAAAGGATCACGCTGTTCTCAGCTGAGTTGTGTCAGCAAGCAGTCAGCTGTTGGATCCCTCCCTACGCTTCAGTTTTTCAAATGAATAATACAGGTACTTTTAGGGATGGTTGCAAAATGCTCACTGTTCGTATCTTTAATGTGTAAAGGCCCGCCATGATCATGAAACCATGGAAACACAGAACATGGAGCTAAGCTGCACAACTGGTGAGACAAAAATCAAGTTTTGTTAAACTGCTCCAGGTCTAAACAGTGTGCACAAGCAAATCTTTTTGTAAGGAGATTATTAGAAGTCAAGTGAATAGCTGGGTTATCAAGATCCTCACTTTCCCCATAATGAAAGCTTTCATTGTGCAGCAAATGATCCTGTAGACATGAGAAAAACCAAGCTGTGCAACACTGACAGTCAGAAATGTTGACACGTCTCTCTTCATAATTGGCCATCACCTTTTAAAACTAACATGCACAAATCATGTTTTAGTCATTTTAGGTATTTCCGTCTGATTATTGATCTGAGTACATCTGTTCTCTTTCGGTTAAAGATGTTTGACCGAACCCCCCTTCAAAGCTTAGCTGTGCTTTGATCCGTTTATCGATGCACAGTTCTTTGCTTTTGAAGGCTGACAGACGCTGAAACTGCCTTCACATTCTGCTGGCACCCCACCATCAAATCTGTGCTGTTAATATAATAGTGCACCAAGTGGTGCACCATCACACAAAGATGCTTAAATACTCACATTTGATCATTGCCTGTTTTATTCTAGTATTCCTTACAGTTAAATCTGCTGCAGCATTTTCATGTGGTCAGAGGCTGACTTGTTTGGTATACCAGAAGTGACCTCTATATGGTTTTAAATCCCTTTCACTTCTGTGTTTTCTGTAACATAGAGAGGTTCACGAATCGGGAAATAAATGAGATTCTGTCGTCCAGCAATCAAACAGAGAGACAGATTGACTGATGGAGAGGAAGGCTCCATAAGAAGTGAGTCACGTTCCTTTGTATAATTAGAGTATATTGGAGGAAAGAACATCACACCCTCATTCCAACACCTGCACTGTTGGTTAGTGGTTGAGGAGAGCTGTGGAGCCGTCCCATCACAACACACACAGTATTACATGCAGATATGATATATGCGTTGTGAAAAAGCAGACTTGTTTAGGCTAAAAGTTAAAATTATAATAAAATAAATTTGTATATGTATGTATGTAGGTATAATAAGACAATATCATAACTTATAAAGTCACTTTTCCACTTTTTCAAACAGTAGTTCACTCCCTTGCATCAGTTTCATATAATAGTGAAAACAGAGGTTGATATAATCAAGGAAGTTATCAGAGGTTTTGCAGATAATATCAAAAGTCAGAGTTTTTGCAAAAGTGAAAAGAAATCTTGTTTTAACAATGAGTAATGGTATGCTTTGGAGAATACAGCGTAAACATGTCTTTATGGTCATTTTTGGTAGCATTAAGTGGTGCAGAGTTGAGATTGTGGTATGAGCTTTGTTTTATTAAGCATCAGCCACAATAGGGTAAAGATATATAACACTGTCAGAAAGATAAGCTGTAAAATGTCTGCAAATACACACAGTTATGACGTTAGGTTTTATGTGAACTACATTGTTTTACTCTGAATAACCATAAAAATACCAATCATATGATCAAAATCAGAATCCAGGCTCAGACTTTTTGCATCAGTTTGGAGCTCAGCTGACATAAGGAGGTGAAAGGTAAAAAACATGGACTAAATTGTTGGTACGCATTGTTTAATAGAGAAAGCCCACAATAGTCACAGAAATAACTTGGAAAAAAGTCATGATAAATAAAAATTCTATGAAAATGACCAAATTTTTTCCGTTTTGGCCATTCTCTTTGATGTTTTTTTCAGCTGTGTGTTTTGGGTCATAATCTTGTTGCAGACCCATGACCTGCTACTGAGACCAAGCTTTCTGACACTGGGAAGCTGGTCCATGTTGAGTGTGGTACACACCATGTCATCCAACAGCATAGTGATGAGCTGTAGCCCTATAGGCCCATTGGTTGATTGCAAGATTGTAGACGCCTGATGTGATGTGACCTTTATTTGTTCATTTTCAAAGATTTTTTTAATTTATCATTGCTTTAGTCAGATTCAAGTTATTTCTTTGACCTCTGAACATTGTTGGTTCTTCTTTCATTAATCGAGGGCTACCAACAATTTTGTCCTTGTGCTAGCCCCTTCTTTGCACGTCTCATTACAACATGATTTTCTATCAGGCCACAAAATGTGCATTTCATATCATTTAGAATTATTTTCTTATCGGTTTCATTTTGACCTTTTCTCTGAAACACTCTTTTACTTCTCAGTAATGAAAACAAATTGAATCAACGCATGACAGATTGTTATCTTTTTGGACACTAAAGTAAAAAGAAAAACTGTTGTAGTCACTGTTGTTGTGTCTTGGATGAGGTGAGCCACTAAAATCATTCCACATGGTTAAAAACATATTTTATCACCTTTTATGCATTCAAACTGTAAAAATAAACTAAAAACATCTATGGCAAAACTGTATACCAGTACACTGACTTTGAAATATCGTGACTTGCAATTTTTAAGCAATGCTGAAATACTGTTTCATTGATTTTCCATATAGTCATGCACGTTAATGGAAATTTAGAGAAAACAATTAACCTAACATTCATGTTTTTTTTACTATGAGAATAAGAAGCATCAGCAGATAACCCACACAGAACTCTCCTAAGGAATGTCCTGCAATAAGGCAACAGTGCTTTTTCTTTTCACAAGTGGGATAACATTTTAAAAAATCCTAAACAGCATTTTCAAGAACCTTATTTTTACCATTTTTACCACCAACGGTCTTAAAATTAAATATTGATTCAATATTTATAGAAAAATAGCTTGCACAAAACTAAACTAACAATTATTCTGTTATGATCCAACTTAGCTTGTGAGGAGTAACAAACAATGGCGTAACTATCGGTAAGCAGAGTATGCAGTTGCTTAGGGGCCCGCGACCTCTTAGGGGCCCTGTCACTGACACCAGGTTGGCCCCCAACACAATTGCGGACTAGGACGTCTCTTTGCACATGTAATGGTGCGAAAAATTCCTCTTGAACCCACCTGATACTAAGCACTCTGACCGGACCTTATTTATACCCCAACACATGGCAGATTGGGTTGTTGAACTTCATATGGGGCCCACACTGATAATGTGCTTAACAGAATATTGTTGTGTCATTACACCATTGGTAACAGATAAAACATAGCGTGGTTTAAAGCAAACTTTATTAATAAAATTAGTTTTTCAGTATTAAATATTTTAAAATTAAATAATTAAGTATCTGCAGATAAGACACTGTTAAAAACAGATTCTGTTCAGTTGAGGTCCATAAGAGCTTCATCCACAATTAATAAAACGCAATCAATTTAGTCAATCTTTTCTTTACATACTTTGTTATTTAAACCCTAACTGTAGCTTGTCATTTTCTCTGATGGTTTTTTTTCTCCCCTTGTGTATATGTTCATCTTTTATCTCAGGAGCATGTTGTGGGAGAAAAGAGGGAGGTGCGGTGCTGACAACAGTTTCTTTTTTCTATTTTTTTAAAATAACTATTGTGACTTTATTTCCCAGAATGCACCGCGCAGCGCGAGGTTTCCCAACAGCTGACAGACGGTGAAGCCTCTGCCAGAGCTGTCGCTGGAAGCTAGTAGAGCCTTCTCTTCGGAAGCTCACCCCGACACAAGCCGAACGTTAGCAATATTTAAACTGTTTATATATATATAGCTTTAGAGACACGCGTTTACTGTGCCTCTTTTTTTTATATTTATTTATTTTTGTTTGTTCGCTTTATATCCCAGCCTCGCCAGCCGGGGACAATTGCTGTCAGCTAACTTCCACGGTCTGTCGCCCGGACTGCCGCTTTATGTATCACTCTACTTCAGCGGTTTGACTTCCAGCCCTTCCCTCTCCAGCCGGGCCCCGATGCTGAGGAATGGATAGTGTGTCTGCTAACGGTGGGAAGATGGTCGAGAGTGATGAGCAGCAGCCGGAGAGGCAGAGCGGCGGTGGCGCAGCGATGGCCGCGCTCCATCAGTGCGAGCTCATCCAGAATATGATCGATATCTCCATCTCCAGCTTACAGGGGCTACGGACCAAATGCGCCGCGTCCAACGACCTCACGCAACAAGAAATCCGCACTTTAGAGGTAAAAGTGCGCTGATTTGGGGGGGGATGTGTCTGGTTTAAACTGCGGAGTCATGATGCAACCGACGCTATGTCCGCCAGAGTAGAGGCTGCAAAGGCGACGCTGTCAGCGAGCTGAGCACGTTTTTGTCGCCGATGTAGCGACCGACCTGTCGCTGTAATGACCGTTTGAGGATCGTCGTCAAAAATCGACCTAATTGCAGCCATGATGTGCTCCAAGTGTTTATTTGTGATGGTTGTTAGCAGCGCGCCGTGCAGCTGCATCCATCCAGCCTGGCCTAATGGCACACATTCAATAATCTGATACAGCTTTTATCTGTATGCAGAGCTGGATTCTTTTTTTTTTTCTTTTTTTTTTTTTAGGTTGTGCAACCGGCTTGTCAAAACAAATAACAGAAGGCAATCCTTGCTTTGCATGACTTGTCCTATGTGTTTACAAAAAAAGGGGGAAAAATGTGGATAGACAGGGTTGATGTTGATCTAGATGCTGATTCAGCTCTGCTTTGTTGATTGTGTTTTACCCTGGAGGCATTTAATTTGCAGGACAGCCTATCATACTGAGAGCTAATAGAACACTAAAAACATGATTGGGTTTAGAGAAGTCTTGCAATGTGGCTTCTTGTGAGTTGATGTTACAGGCCAGAGGTGAGGTCAGCAGACTGTACAAGTTTCCACTGTTGTTTCGCAAAACTTTCCTTCCCATTTTTAAAACAATCAAGTTTTAAAACTGAAATAACACTTGCAGTTTAAATAATTAAAAAAGGATATTTGGTCAATAGAATGTTCCACATAGGCAGAGGCGTAGCCAGAACATTTTTGTAGGGGTGGCCAGTCAGGGGTGGCCGAAAGCGGATGGGTGCCAGATCCTACACTATTCCAACAGGAACGGCTTTGCTGACAAATAGACACATTGATTTAAACATTTATGCTGTCTAAATAAAAGGTATGGTCTGACAAAAGTTTTTCCATTGTCATTGCTTACCTTCTTTTATCAAAATTTGTTCTGCATAAAATTAATATTTACGTATACTAATATCTACATTTAATTCATTTTTAAGTTATTATTAAAGTAGTTATTTATCTATGATTTTCTTGCAGACACCTAGATGACTTGCAGAGACGCATAATTTATTTTTTTACCCAATATAACACAAAATTTAGTTCTTAAAAGAGCATGAATTCTGTATATAACAGCTTTAATGTTAGTATATTGCTGTGCATAATTAACCATATCATTTTAGCTATCAAGTAATTGTTAATATATGAAAGATTAAAATGTTTAATAAGTTATAACATTCCCCTTGAGAGTGATACTGCTGCCACTGTCTGTATTAGAGGGCGTAAAAAAAATGGTTGGATAAGGGTGGTCATGGCCACCTCTGGCCCCCCATCTAGCTCCGCCCCTGCACATAGTAGCAGGATGAAGAAAATGGACTGAGGCTAAACAAAAAGAAGCATTTGAACCATTGGGGTTCTTTGTTAATCACTTTTTGTGCAGAAAAAAAGTCCAAGGAACAGCCAAAACTTGACCTTTGTCTTACCTTTGTAGCTAAAAAAAATGCTACTTGGGTCTTTCTTAATCTTCTGCAGAAGTTAGGGTGTGAATCTCTGGTGTACCTGAAATGTACAGTATATGCAGCACTTATTCCATTAGATTTAAGATGGGAAAGTATTTGTTAAATATGAAATTGACGTAATCTTTTGTTATTACTGCTTTATTATAGAGATTGAACATATAGTTGTTTTTTTTTAAGGCGAATACCAATTATTTTGACATCAATGTATCCGATTCTTTGTTTCGTATGGTTTTTGGTATCATTTTCGAAGACGATATTGCTTTATCTTCCCACATTTAATTAATAAAAATAACAGTTGTAAGAATTATTGCACAAGTCTCAATTTAAATAGAATTATCTGTTAACAAAACAAGAAAAACATAATGGATAGCCAGTGGAAGGAGCGGCAATGCATGCACTTCATGGGGTCTGCTGAATGCACAAAGAAATTGGCCAACACATCCACGTATCACCCGATGCTAACATCTGCCCTAAATATCTTTCTGTGGATTTATTTCTATGTTTCTACTTTATTAGATGCTTAGCCATAATATAAGGCCCACTTATTTCCTTATATTTTATGCTTGTAGAATGATGCCATCAGAGATGATTCCTCCTAAAAATGTTCCATCATACCATTTCTCTGCGTTATAATCTATTAATCTAAATGGAACGCAAAAATGCCAAAGTTACCAGAATTTTCTCTCGTTGTATATAGTATTTATTTCGGATTTAATTTGTGTTCCTGGCTGGCTTTGTTTTGTGAACTTATCTACATGGAATGAAAGATTAATTCCCAACAATTTAAGAAACAGTCAGTCAGCTTAGATTAGGGATCTATCAGTAGGCTTAAGCCTTTGGTTTACCCCAGGCGTCTGGCTGGTAATGGCCAAAAAACAAAACAAACCACTCCTCCTTCAGGAGAAATGACAGAAGCTGACAGGATACTACATAAGCAGATGCAGACATGATGTGACATGGAGCTACGCTATACAACCAATTCAGCCTCTCCTTGATATGTTTTTTTTTTCCCTTTGAATTTGTGATTATTTGTTTTTTTAGTTTGTCCTACAAAGCTGCAGACCGAGTAAACTGTCGAGCTACTGCAAAAAAACCTAAAAAATTTTTGATAGAGGAGCATACATATAGTTTTAAGTTTAAAATCAACATTGTAAGAGGCTACAAAGTTGTGGCTGATAAATAAATGTTCTGTTAATAAAGGGATTAAGTGTATCTATGGTTTTGTTCATTTCAGCTTACCAGGTAGATTAATAAAGGAAAAGATGTACAGTGGAAAAAAAATTAGAAGAACCCTTTTTTGCCCCCTATTTAAGAATATATATCTAAATCTGTTCTGTTGGTCCTTAGCTGCCTGGCAGGGTTAGTGTAGATTTGAAAGGTGTCATGTGGGAGCAAATTGTAACAGAAAAGCAAACTAAGTGATTAAATATGAGGGAAGCCCAGCAACTTCGGCTTGCTGTTTCCTTAGCCTACCCCTGCTCCACTCCCACTGGTTTCGTGCATAAGGGGAGCAGATGCAGCTGAGTGGCTTGTTACGTTTTTGCTTCCTGAAGCAAAAGTTGCAGGTTAGCCAATGCAAGCCTCAACTGGTTAGTGGAATTATGAAGTCTTGGCCCATTCAAGTCTACATTCTTCCACTCGTCTTTATCCGTTGTCATTTTGTGCTTTGTCAGTGGAACAGGACGTGATCTGACGGAGTACTTCCTGAGGTATGTTCGTCTCGTAGATAGGTTTTCTCTCTCGGCATTGTTCTACATGACAATGGAAACGCAGTGCGACTCTCGTGTTCTTCTTGAGTACTCCTTAAACTGTTCTAAGGTTGTTTTGTTTCTCATATGCTTAGCAGGCGTTTTTAAGGACCAATGCTGATAATTCAGTTGTGCAAGCAGTGGATGTGGTTATTTCTAGTTAGATTTTGTTGGTTTGTGGTCTTCAAAAGTTCAGAATTTACCTCGTTGTTCACCAAGGTTTAGTACAGCAAGGAGCTTTTTTTCCCCTCTTAAATCTTCGAGCTGCTGCATCAACGTCAGAAAGTAAAAGTTCTCTTTGAGTTTAGTGGCTGCATCAAAAATGTCACGTGTAAAAATTTATTGTTTGGCTAATTGTATTATTTATTGGTATTTTCTTTGATGTAAAGTAAGGTATTTTCACATTGAGTTAACTATTTGGTCATAAACGGCTCCTGGTGTGCAGTGCCCTTTTAAGGGTGATGCTGTTCCCCATTAGCTGGCTGTTGAAAAGCCTGAAAGAAAAAAAATAAATAAATAGAAAAGCACTCAATATGAATGTTAAAAGGCATATGATTACCAAAAAAGTTATATTTTTTATATTTTTAACTATTTTTGTACATTCATTTCTATTTTTCTTATATTTTCTATTGTTTTTTTCCAGACAATTGAGACAAATTGTCAGACGGTGCATCACCAACATCTTCCTTTCTTTAAAGCATGATATATTTCTTTAGTTTTCTTTATCAAACTCTACAAACTGCACTACTTTCTGTGATTATAATAAGGAATTTTCTTTCTCATTGAACCCTTTTTTGTTTTTGCTATCCCTTAACATTGAAAGAAACCCATATTTTTATACGAGGCTGTCATTTTCTGAGCAGTACTTATAGTTTTAGTTTTCTAGCTGAAAAGCTGTTTTGTACTGTAAGTAAATGATCTGCATTTCCAGACGAATAGCACTATAAATATTCCCTGATACCTTATTTATAAAGAAGAATAAACAACTCCTCCTCTGTACAGAACATCCCAGCTTATCTCAGTCCAAAGGAGATTAAAATTGTATTTGAATGAACTCAATCAGTCCTCATTACCATTTTACAGCCTGATATCTCTAAGTAGAAATATAATGCAACTTTTATCATAGTATTTGTCTAAAAAATTTTATTGATATTTAAAACGATACCATTTATCACATTTTTCTTGTGCTAAAATGTTGCTAATAATAAAACTTCTTAGAGTAGATGTATTTTCCTATAGGTGGGCCTTCATGATAATAATGCTATTTTGCTCTCCTGCTCTTTATAAAGTAAACTCAGGGATAAAAATAGCAGATTGTTATGGCTTTGGGCTTTAATCTGGTGTGTTTACATCCATCTTTTTCTTTCACGTATGCCCATTAACAGTCACTGTCCCAACCAAATAAACAAAGTCAGCTAACTGAATAGGTTCCTAGCTTAAAGCTTGCTGCTCGTCAACTGAAAGGTAAAAAAATATCGCCTTAAAGTTTGATTAATGCTCTTTGTTTCCAAATCATAAATATGCCTTAAGCGTTGGAACAAGGAAATGTGTTTACCTGCTTTCAGGCTGCTCACTGGTAGGATTCACTATACTTTATCAGGACAGTCAACTTTGGTCATGCTAGCACTTTCTGTGCCATATGATTAACTGACTATTTAGGAGCAGCACAGCTGTGT